CTCTTTCGGACCAGTTCGAACTTAAAGGTCGACTCGTCCTTCAGACCTCTAAAGAAGTCTGTATAAGCTACCTCGTCAGACAGCCCCTGGATTTGAATTCTCACCAGGTTGAACCGCCTGACGTAGGAGCAAAGTTCTTCTCTATCTCCCTGTCGAAAGGTGCTTAAGTCGAGACTTGTCTTTTTGGCAGGGATGTTCATCGAGAAGTTGGAGGAAAAAAAGAAGGCAAGCTTCCTGAAGCTGTCGATACATCCGGCTGGCAGGTTTTTAAACTATTGTTGGGCAATGCCCTTCAATTTATCCAGAAAGCACCAACACCACATAGCATCCTCCACCCCCTGCATGTGCATGGGGTTGGAGTAGGCCATGAGGTGTTCCTTCGGGTTGGTGGTACCATCATAAGCACCTACCAACACATTCTTTACCTTGGCCGGTTGTGCGGCCTCGGTTATCCCTTTGGTGAACGCAGAAATTTGTTCACCAAGTTTGAGCAAATGGAGCTGCCAGTCCAAAGGTTGGACATTGTATGTTGCCTAACCCCCAAAGAGGGACGGATGCATGAAGTGAGGAGAATACTGACCGTAGACCATCAGGGGTACATACGGCGTATTCCCAATCATCTGAGGGCCCGAAAAGACGGTATTACCGCCTGTGTGGCTCTCATGCAAGGATTGAATATTCCCTGCAAATGTATTCTTCAAGCTGTCTAGAAAGCTCGAAGTAGAGGCTGACTTAGACAACTGTTGACTTCTCCTGCGCTCAATGATTTGCCGAGCATCAGGAGTAGATTTTTTGTTACCCACCGGTCGGGGATTTCTTAGATTCTTCTGGGGTAGAAGAATCTTGGACCAATCAAGGGTCCCTGCTGCCTTGTCCTTTGGATGCAGGGTTGGCTGCCTATCCCTGAGTGGCTTCCTCCTCTCATGAGGAGTCTTCCTTGCCGACTGACCCTTGCTTGGGTCAGCCCTGCTCTTAGTGATTAGATCCTTAATTTCACCCTTAAAACTAGTCATTAATTTCATGAGTTCGTCCCGGGTGATTGGGACGGATCCAATTTCCGTTTGGGTTTCCCCTTCCGGCTGACCAAGGGGCCTGCTTGTACCTGCCTGGCTTGCACCCTGTTCCAAAGTGTCTCTAGGACGGATGCACTTGGTATTAGAGAGCCATCTTTGGCTATGTACGTTTCGACTTGAGGATCATCATCCTCGTGGTCAGTAAAGACCTCCGACTGATTAACCGTGTGGTCAGGAGGCAATATAGACTCTTGAACCATCCTTGAGGTACTCTCCCCATAGACGACGCCAAATGTTTTGGGGGTTTTTGTCCCTCGAGAGAGTTACGGCTCAGAGACTAGTTGCGCGCGGCTTGTACCTGGAAAACCACGAAGACTTCGGTTGTTGGAGCTCCGCCTCTGACGATCAAGTTAGTACTTGAGTATAAACAGGAGAAAGTGCGGAAAAAGAGGTGAGATCTTCTTGGATTCTGAGATCAAGTGATTCTCTGATGTAAGAGAATGTAGGGTAGGCTATAACAAATATTAAAATTTAATATGATAACAAACAAGTATTTAAATTGAACAAATTTATTTTAATGTGAGAATGAACAAGTATAAAATTAAATGAACTTGTTTAATAAATATAAGAATTAATATGGTATTAAATTACAAATAAATATCTTTTAATATGAGAATGAACATATAATCGAAAAGGAATGAAAATGTATCAAATTTAGTTATACATACACTAATATAAAAATGATTATAAATGAACATGTGTTACATATATATATAAAATTACACTCGTATTAACATAATCATGTTCATCATCACATCATTACTAGTTCATTGAAATCTCAACACTATATCATCTCTTTAATTATATATATGTTCATTATCATATCAATAAATATTCATTAACATGATAATAATATAAAAGGTGCCCCCAACTATAATATTATCCTTAATTAACCCTTTTTATTGGTAAAATTTATAGTAAGTCATACACTCAAAGAAATTCATATCAAATATATGTTTTCTTAGGGAAATTTTTTTCCCAAACTGTGAACAAAAAAAATATGTTCAATTTTATATTTTTAATTGTTCAGTTTCAATTTGATACATAATTACAGATCAAATAGTAGTTATAAAAAAGGATCCGAGGATTGTAACAAAAAAATAAACCAAGATAAATCATGCGTAAATGCTTTCCGATCCACATAAAAATTCAATTCATTAATATTTCTAGTATGATAATAAGAAGGCAAAAGCTAATGAGCGCCCCCGGGGCGTTAGATAAGAGAATTAAAGTGCAAATATTAGAGTAAAATTAACATTAATTACACCGAACGACGCGTGATTTTATCATGAATTCCTAACTTAATACCATTTCAACCAATATAATTTATCCTTATCTAACGCCTCGGGGCATTCGTTAACAATATCCTAATAAGAAACATAGATTTTAAAACGTTAAAATATATCAAGATACAATCAAGTTTCAACTACTTATCTTACTTTGAAGTCATTATAATTCTATCTTACTTTGAAGTCGGATTAGTTAAGTAGCTAGTGACCCTTTGACCATTAAGCTTTTTGAACTAGTAAAACGAACATGACTAGCTAGCAACTTGAGTTCATAATTCCATACACCTTGAATATCTTGTCGAGCAGTGGGAATATCTTGAATGTTCATTTACGAATTGTTTTATGATCATTTATAAAATTTATACACTCCTTGTAAGTATTTTTAAAAAAAAAATTTAAAAAAAAGTTAAATACTCCCTGATAAAAACACAAATTCATGATTCATCCCAATGGTGATTTGTTTGAGCTTCAATCTTTACTACTTTCTCTCTTTCTCAATCCTTTACATTTTCCCCCTTTACCCACTCAAATTCAGCCACTACAGCCACCGTTGTGACGATTGTTGCTGCTGCCACAACAACCACCATCATCTCGCCATCACCACTACCATACAACAACATTGTATTTTGTTTGTAATTGCTTCGATTAGGCTAGAAATTTGTTTAATTGAGTTGATTGCCCATGAGTAAGGATCATCAATTGCTTTATTAAGATATTATTGTGAAGCGAGATATAGCGGTGCATATAGTGCGTCATTTTAAGGGGGGGTGTAGGGAGTTTTGCCTACACTTGGGTGTAGGTAAAAGTTTCTACAAATTGATAGGTCTACATAACAATAAAATTTATTGGAAATGGTAATGCAAACGGAAGATTCTCACACCCGATCGGGCGGTAGTTCGCCCAACCGGGCAGAATTGGCTAAGGAAAAAAAGGAGGGCTCTCGCGCCCAATCGGGTGATGGTTCGCCCGACCGGGCGACGGAGTCGAGTTTTGACGAGCCCGATCGGGCGGCTCTTGCCCGATAGCTCGCTCGGGGTGAAATTTCCAGATCGCCCGACCGGGCAGGTGTGGCCCGACCGGCGCGACACCAAGTCTGGGAAATTTTATCTCGCGCCTAATCGGGCAGTTGGTTGCCCGATCGAGCCCGCCTTTTTTCTTAGGTCGGTTTGATTTATTTGTCTTCTAATTTCGGGACACATATAGATACGAGCATTGCCTTTTCTATCTTCATTCATTCACATTCAAACCTAAAACACAAAACCTACCCTTTGAGATCTGAACAATTCTTGAGCAATTTCACTCTTCGGATTCGGGTGCACGGATTACGGAGAGAGTTACGAAATTTGTGGGACGTGCGTCACTAGGAAACTTGTAACGGTGGTGGCGTATTTCGCTTCTAAGGTTGTGGATTATTGTTCCGTGGCGCGACTGTGAGTTTGGGGTCTTCAATCCAGGAAAGTTTTAATCTTTTGTTTGTTATTGATTTCAACAATTATTTTACCAACAAAACTACTAGGATAGATCCCGTGCCATGCATTGTGCTTAATAGTTATAAACTAAATTATCCCCGTGTAATGCACGACATAAAAAAATTTCTTTAAAATAAATATATTTTATATATGTACCTCATATGAGAAATATATATAGAAACATAACCATTAATTGCAATGACATATAGATCTAAATAATTTTGAAGATAATAAAAATTTAACCAAATTATACAATATGGAGTACTCTTAAACTGAGAATAATTATATTTGGAATCCAGATAGTTTTTTTTTTATAAATCCATAATAATATAAAAAAAAAATTGAAATAACATTTTATAATAGTTGTCTTCTAAAAAAATATACTCCGTATATATAATTTAATAATGTAAGGTAAAAAATAAGAAGGTTTCAAAAAATAAGAATATGATATAAGCAATTAATTTAGGCGGGAAATTTTTTTACCACAACTTGACATCTGTACCATTTAAATAGGGGATGATGCCAGCGATTGTTACTTTAGTTATATTTATAGATATTAGATTGTGTAGTATATTATTTTTACGTTTTGAATTACTTTTTTTTACCACAACTTGACATCTGTACCATTTTTGGGTCGTTTTTTATCTTTTTGGGTCGTCATCCTCGTTGGCCTCTTTTGAAATTTGATGAAGATTATTGCAGTTAGGATGCAAGGTTGGAGATGGTGCATCAACAGATAATTCGACACTGACTGATCTGTTATCTGTTTCTTACGCGATGCTGAAACAGTTGGGCTAGGTACAGGTTCATGAACAGGTTGTGAAGAGCTAAGCATCCTGGTTGCCCCATTTGCCGTTCTCCACTCCCTGCCAAAGTTAATATAAATAATTCTCGTCAACAAACAGCATCATCATCATCATCATCAAATCATCAATTATACTTTATACATTGAAAACATGTTTTACAATGATGATAAAAAAAATATGTTTAAACTTACTCTACAAATCATATCATCACTGTTCTCGGCTGACGCCCTCAGCTCTTTCCCTAGTTCTGTTTTCAAACTTTCCTTCTACTAAATAGCAAAATGTGTTTAGACAAATGAATATAATGATTCTGAACATGATTATGAAGAAGAAGGATATCACCAGGGATCCAAACCAATGTGCTAAAGAAAAAAGGAGATGAGTATACTAAGGATAGATCTATCTATTATCCGTACTCCTACAGAGTGACTTTACAGGTCTTAAAGAAGCTCTTACCTATTCATCCGTACACTGGCGGGAAGTATACATTTATTCTCTTATTCCCCTTTGAAAGCAATATGTCTCGGGACAAACAGCCAACCTCAGAACCAAGCATGCTTGGTGGAGGTGGTGGAAAACTCACCTTGTGACTTTGAACCAAGCATGCTTGGTGGAGGTGGTGGGGAACTCACCTTGTGACTTTGAACCAAGCATGTTTGGTGGAGGTGGTGGGGAACTCACCTTGTGACTTTGAACCAAGCATGCTTGGTAGAGGTGGTGGGGAACTCACCTTGTGACTTTGAAATCACAAGTTCGAGCCCCATCACCCACATTTGCTAGCGAATAGGGAATTCCCTTACCTTCTCCCTCTACTCTTTTGTAGCTGGCTACTGACCCTTCTCCTTACCACAAAAAAGAATAAAATAAAAAAAGTAGCCAGCGTCGGAAATAACTCGCTTTTTCACATAAAAACAAGAAGTCCTAGCGAGACACTGAATTAATGATGAGGGAAAACTTTATGCATAAACTATGAAATGTAGGTTATGGCCAGACTTGATGATGTCATTCCTCTGTGAATTGCCTTTAGCAATGTGACAAACTTGCATAAACTTTCTGCAGAAAACCACTTCAACCTCCATGTCTTGGCTCCTGGAATTATACTTCCATTCTTAAATCCAACTCTCGGTTTCATCATGTCAAGTATAGGTGAAAGACAGGATATTGGGGAGTTTTCTCTAAGAGTCAACATCACAGTCAGGCTCTCTTTGGCTTCAATGACCTGAAAACATCAGGATGTTAATAAGCAAGATCATCATGAACCTAACATAATAGTAAGATAATTGTGCCACTGAAGAAACCCCACATCCCTAACCTGTTACTATACCAAACACCAGTATTCTTATCTGGCAAGAGATTGAGAGAGGTGTAAGACAAATCATTTGCACTACGTAAAAAAAAGATACAAAGGCTCCATCTTAAAAATCCAAATTCAACTAATAGACATTTACTAAATTGGGCTTCCAACCATCAGAATCAAATTAGTCAAAACAATCTCAACGCAAAGTGTTTTCACATCCAGAAACGTAATTTATATAATTTGATAATCACGTATAAATTACCATCTCAGAGACATTAGCAATGGAACAGCAACTATCAAGCAAAAAATAAGAGGTGGCATCTGCATGTGCTGAAAGTGAGCTGAAGTTCGAGATATCCTCAATGCATACAACCAGATGTCCCCCACTCACAAAAAGTGATCTGGATACCCACTCTGCTTCTGCCAACAACAAAAGAAACAGGACTTCAAAGAGAGCAATAGATTTACAGAAAATGGAAAATAGAGACAATGAAATAAGCCTCGGAGTAATTTGAAAAATCTGGACAAAATATGATTAACCCTTTGGAAATTAAAGAAACAGGAAAAACAGGTAGCTCGTCAAATTTACAAGTTTAAAGCATAAATAAAAAGTTCATAACATGCCAAGAACATATTATGTCCTTAACAATCTTCTTGGCAAGAGGCAGTCTTTTTAAACACTTGCAAAGAAGCTGAACCTCATTGGAACAATAGTTGTAATCTAATTGTCCACAGACTGTCCTATCCTACTCAACCCCAAGGACATTGCGGAAAGAAAAAGATCATTAATGAAAAAGAAAAAAGAAAAGAAATGTAAAATAAAAGAAGAATACAATCACATGGTAGATCTATAAGGATATTTAAGCAGTACCTGCAAAACAGCCTACTTACTCTCAGCTAGTAGACAGGTTTGGAGAACTTTAAAAGTACAGACAATGAATTTGCATACACCGTTAATTACAAAAGAACTCGAAACTACTCCCTCCGTCACATGAAATCATTATCTTTCATATAAAGGTTGTCTTGTAATAAAAAATAAAAAAAAAAAATAATTAAGTATTTCTATTTAGGAAATAAAATAAAAAAATAAACAACTCTTTTCATTCCATCAAATCAAATCCTTTTGGATTTTTTGTGAGAAACTACCTAATAAAACCCAGATTTTGTGAGAAACTTACCAAACAAAAAAAAATGTTGTAAGATACTACCTAATAAAAGGTTAAATGTTGTAAAATACGACCCACTTCAAACAGCCTCCACCAAGCCAAAACCACCGCCTCTTACCCAAAAATTACCATATCGTAGCCCGAAACTACCCCTACCAACTCGGAATATCCCCCAACCACCTCGAATATAGCCTTACCATCTTGAAGATCAACCCTTGCGGTGGTTTCGGGGGTGTTTTTATGTGGGTCAAAGTCGGAAAATTAGGTCAAAATCTAGTTAGTGGTATTAATTTACAATATTTAACCTTTTATTGGTAATTTTTTACAACATTTTTTTTTATTAGGTAGTTTCTCACAAAATGTGGGTTTTATTAGGTAGTTTCTCATAAAAAATCCAATCCTTTCACTTCATCTATTTCCCATTCCATCCACTTATGTTAATTACAATATTTATATATATAAGTATTCTAGCAACTAATTCATAACTTTTGCATCCATACCCAATGAGTAAAACATTAAGAGACAAAAAGACTGTTTTTTGGAGCATCCATTTAATTCTTATGGTCACCTTAACAACCGGAAATATTTGATGATTTTGAGAATATTTTTGAGTGTAATTTAGCAAGAAAAGTAATATTATAATGTCCATAGTAATGTCATGTAATCTCTAAAGTTATATTTTCCATTGTATTTTTCCAATTTACCGGATGCCACACTCCCCATAATGTAATGAACAATAAAAATGATTTAGGAGGAAAATGAGATACTTAGGTGAATTAGCATGATATTGAGCCTTATACATAACATTCTCTTATACAACACAAATTCAATTCCCATTACCTTTTATATATTACTGACAATAGAAGTTGTAAATCCCTTGTAATAGTTTACTTTATCACTTATACTTCCTCTGATTTTTTATAGTTGCAACACTTCTCTTTTCACACTTACTGATGCATGTTTTCAATCGTTAATATCTTTAGTCACCAATATGTAAAAATTATAAATCTTAGATATTAAAATTGTATAAGTTAAGACGAATCTAACAAGATCCCACATGACTATATTTTTCCTTAAGTATAAATCGTTAAAGCTAGTCAAAGTGAGACACATGAATATTGTCAAAGTCAAACTGTTGCAACTATAAAAATCGAAAGAAGTACATGTTTTTAATGAGACAAACAATTAGTGATCAAAGATCAAAATTTAACTTATAAGGGCGAAAGTTCCCCATAAAGAACAACTTTGAAAGTAAAACAAGTAACTTCAAATCCTAATGTCTAGTTTTATAATTTCTTTTTCGGAAATTAGACTATCAAGCATCAACCTAAGGACCTTGAATTGTCACCTATACACAATTTTGTTTTCTTGGATGCAGGTCCAAGAAAATCCCCTAAGATGTTGGGATCATTATCACCTTTCAGTGTTTTCACAATGAAAACAAAGTAATACCTTTCAGTATTTTCAGAATGAAAAAAAAAAAAAAAAAAAAAAAACAGTAATACCTTTTGGTTTTTTCAGAATGAAAAAAAAAAAAAGTAATACCTTTTGGTGTTTTCAGAATGAAAAAAAAAGTAATACCTTTCAGTGTTTTCACCAATGTTACAAGGTACGTGGTTCGGTTCGAAACATGGTACGGAAACGGATATACGGCACGCTACACATGATGAATCCGGTACGATTGGGTACGAAATAATAATTAATAAAATATAACTGTGATTTTTATTAATAAGATTTTGATTTGGAAAATAATATAAAACGTAGTTGTATCGGTCCTAGCTTGAATTTATGTGGGTTAGTGAATTGCTTAAGAAAATAGAGTACATTATATATACTTGTATAATAAAAAAGCCCAAAGATTTAAGCCCATATGGAATAATACCCTAGCCGCCACACTATGTACTACTGTGTAAATTAGGAGAGAGGAGAGAGAAAAAACTACTAAGATATAAAATCAGAAGAGAGAGAAAATGCATTGGAAATATCGGGAAGAAACCATAGAACGTTGCACACGAAGAATAACCGCTTAGCTGCTACCAGAGTCGCCTCCTTCAGCGACCCAAGTCGCGTTTGTTCCGCGTTCCGATACGCGCAACTCAGTTCGGGATTCGTGGCTACGTACAGCGAACCTTGTAACACTGGTTTTCACAACGAACAAAAAAAAAGCACTCCCTCCGTCCCCAAATCGACCCTTTTGGGTTGATTTCGCGATTATTAAGAAACTTAAATAAAAAGAAATAAAAATATATTGGAAAGATAAATTTACATGGGGTTTGTAAAAAACTACAGAGATAAAATATTAAATATACATAATAAAAAAAAAAAAAAAACAAAAACAAAAAAAAATACGGGGAAGCTAATTTTGCACAAATATTAATGTAAATTGTGGGTATTTTAATGCAAATGGTCGATCATTTTGAAACTAAAATTAGGCCAAAAGGGTCGAAGTTTTGGGGACGGAGGGAGTAATACCTTTCAGTGTTTTCACAAAAAAGAAGGAAAAAAAAATGAAAAAGAAAAATTTAATAGTACCTTTCATTGTACACTGTTGAGGCACAGCCAGGCCATGAACCTTTTGGTGTGAAGGCACAGTGAGCCACTCAACTTTATTTTTCCCAGAATTATTCTCTCTTTTATTGAGTGTGCCTTACTTCAATTATGCAAACAAAAGCGCAAGGAAATTCCTATCACTTTTTAGTGCCTTCAAGCCATGCATTGGCACCTTTCAAAAAGACAATCTGTGGGTAGCAACCTTATCTTATGGGGAGCTGTTTTTATGATATGATGGGATCCAGTGCGACAAAGTCAATTTTTAAGGAAGTAGGTCCTTCATTTTCTTTCTTGTTTAGTCATCACTCCCCAACCTCCTTCCCCTGTTTTATGTCCACTCTTCTACCTTCTCTAACCCTCCCTTTTGCTTAATATGTGAAGAAAAGGGGGCTCCATCAACCAAGGCACAGGTTCTAGATTAGGAATCCAGCTCCAATTATTATTAGCATCCTCAAAAGTTAATTTTGGTTTTAGTTCAAAGTAGGACTATAAGTGATTGCATAATCCTAGAAAATCAAAAAGTATTAGATTTTATAATAAGCAACGCTTAAATAAATGGCAATGTTTGTGGCTTCTGGTTGATTAGAGAGGGAAATGAGGGCAAAATAAAATAAAATAATTGAAAAAATACTAGCTAACTTTTTTTTGTAAAGGTAATTGGAGTAAGGAAGGATATGAACTACTGGGACTTATTATCGAATGAAATTGTAGAATACTCTCCCCTTTTTTTACACAGTTTGACATTCACAATTGCTTACGCACAACTTTAACCATAAATATCGTCGAATTGTCAATCGACATGTAAAAATTATAAAATCTAATATCTTGAAAGGTAAGGAGAATTCCCCTACCAAGCAGGCAACCTGCATGGGTCAACTCAGCTCGGGTTAGTGGGCTACACTAAGAGTGAAGGGGGAATGGTAAAAATCTAAGGGATGCCCACACTCAAAGTGTCTTGAGTGAGGATTGAGCCCTAACATCAGGGTTGGAAAATACAATCTTTACCACTAGGCAAAACTTAGCTTTGTAATATATTGTAAGTATATAGTTAGATGAATAAAACAAGAGCTGACTTGACTACTTGTTTCCTTACATATAAATACCATCATTGGTCATAGTGGAATAAGTTAATAGTGAAACTAGGGCAAAGTGTGTAGATTGAAAAAGAACCCCTAATATTTGTAAGGTCTACTACTATTTGAACATCGTCCACTAAGCATATAATGTATAGCTGTGCTCCAGCCCCCCAAAAAAATCAACTCAATAGCTACTATAAGATGAGAATCAATGTATTATAAATTACAAATGCACACCAACTAAATCCTCTTCAAGTAATACTGAAAGAAGGAAATACAAATAATTACATTAATGAAAAAAATGACCACGCTAAGGAATACCAAACAACATTTTCATCAAGTTCAACCCAATAATTCTGCTTTCTACTTAATTTCTTATGTATCAAGAGAAAGTGCAAAATATATTAAATACAGATTTGGATAGTATTAATTCTGATAATTTCATAAGACCTTGAATTAGTTCATATAGAATGTAACCTTGAGTTAGTTCAGATGAAATGTATGAATGTTCTGAAATGTTATGAGAGAAAGATACAGTGAGGGAAAGAAAACAAAAGATATGCCTGTTACCTTTGTGCCAAAAAAGCACCATACAATATTGGTAAATGCCGCTTCCCAAGTTTCCACATATTTGCCTATCAAACAAGTTCATCTGAACCTCATCCAAACTGCCAATGAAGTTTTTAATTGTGATAAGCATTCCTCCTTAAGATCTGTCCAACTACTAAGCTTATTTATAGATAAAAAGCATAGACTAGAACTTTAACCTCTTGACAGAACATCTATTTATTTCTCCTGGTGCAATTAATCCTATCATGAAAAGTAAATGCCTAGTTTTTTCCTTGCATCTTGTAATCAACAGATACGCAGTATCCTCATCAATAAAAATCCTGCAAAAATAAAGAACAATGGCTCTATTAATGAGAAAGAAACACTACAGTGCATAAATAAACAGCTAAGAGGACACTAACCAGAGAGCCAGAAGACCCAACCCAATCGAAACCTCTCTCACGTCTTCAACCTTGTGTGAAGTCAATAGACTCAAGTTATTACCTAAATGAACCCATGTGCGGAACAAAAAAACAGCACAAAAAGAGATGAGAAAACCATCGAAAAAGAGATCATACCACAGCAAGTCTAACCTGACCCATCATGCATGCCATCAAGAAGAATCACATACAACTTCCATTCACTGCTTAGGACAACAGCTACCTGTCTGCAGTTGTCAATAAAAATTGAAATTGAAAGGTTTAAAATTTTGCAGAATTTCTGAACACTTTGAAGAAAGGGTCAAATTTGTCAACAGAAGACAAAAATATATGACCAAGAAACGAAGAAATTCATGGCTTATAGTATATAACATAAGGGAAAGGAGGAAAACATAAGCAATGAGACCAAAAAAAAAATTGATGATATAATGCAAAGGCAAGTCCTAGAAGAAGAAATAATTGTTAGGTCGAAGGCCCAAACGGCTGATATATTTTGAAGATGTCACAAACCACCTCCAAACACATCATGCAGTGCCTTGTTATGGAATCTCATAACAGTTTAGGATCTAGTAAATCCATAAGATTATGTCTTACTGCCATATTTATAGATTCAGACCTAGCCTAGTGTGTAATTCATTACTTGATGTAAAAATATTTCCTAGTGGCAATCACTCAGGTAAAAGGGCCCACAATCTACGTATGCCACATGTCACAATTTAGTGGTAGTTGTATGGTTGGCCCTTAGGGTTTGGGCCCTTCTTCCATTATATCTTACCACAACAAAATAGGGTTAAAGAAAGAGGTTGTAGCTAATACTCTTTCAATGGGATTAGAACAAATAATGGAAAACAAGTATTGAGGCTTGAGTTGTTAAATCTTACATACGGCTATAAATATATATATTACCTTTCGTTCCACATGGGATTCCTCCCAACTACCCCATTACAGACAATGTACTGCTTGCAAATCTCGTGAATGGCAGTATCTGCAACAAGTGAATTGAAGTAATTTTCAATATGGTCACCAGTTTTTGAAACTCCATGCTTTGAGTAAGCTAAGACTCCACCACCGTCATCATGTGCAGGTGCCGAGTTCACCTTTCCATTAGCTCTTCCAATGCAATATATATCATTCATAGTTTGGTTCTCTTGCACATCTTTAAGATCAGCTTTGCAGGGACTTATGCTATCCGACAGTGAAACAACTCTTTTTTTTGGTTTCCTTTTAGAGATTTTCTTTTCATAACAATCATTAACTTGCTTATTGGAAGTGATAGCCTCTTCATCATTGTTTCCAAGAAGAGGTGCATCACCACAGAAGAACTCTATAGAACTATCAAGTACACCAAGTTTACCAGTGGATTGCTGCGTATGAAGATCAAGTGAGCCCCATCCTGTTCCTACCTCAGGAGCAAACTTCCAATCAATATCTCGAGTCAAACCCTCTTCGCCAGTATATTGGTCACTTTCAGGGTATGGTAGCCCACTTTCAAGTCCATCCTCGTCATCACAGCTGGTATTACTGTCAGAGGAAGCAGCAGATAAGGACTCAGCAGACACCTGTAAAAACTCTTCCTCCAAGTACTGACGGCGATAAAGAATATCCTCCTCATAGTGTGGAGGTGATACTGGGGTTCCAGAGAATGGCGTTAACTCCTTAATACTTTTGATGGCAGTCAACGGTGTACCATTAACACTAGCATTTAACTCTTCGCCATGTACACTGAAACCAGGTGTAACAGAGTTGACATCTGCTCTTTGTAGATAATTTTTCCCCTTAGGCAAATAGAACTTCAGAAGATCTTCATCTAAAGCCCGTGTATTTGCTCGAGGCATTGTTTCCACATATTCAGCAGCAGAATGAAGCCATTGATAGCCATGATTGCCAGCTGAAGAACTACCAAAGGAGCTATTAGTTTTCTCAGCATTTGTACTCCTATCATCTTCTGAATTTATGATTGTGTCTGATACATATTCCATGTACCTTGAACTTTCTCCAATGTGCCTCCAGCTAGATGTCTCTCTTGAATTGCTGTTAACAAAAGCCAGTGCGGCATGGCTACTCTTTATTTCATCAACCCAATTCTCAGATTCCTGATCCATCCAATCCTTGAATTCCTCCAACCATAACCTAGAACGTTCTTTTTTCATAAACTCAATTCTGTTAATCAAACTACTTAGTTCACCTTCTTTATCCGAAACATCCTCCTCTCCACCGTGCATATCATTATCACAGGACACTGAATCTTGCTCAGAGAGCATGTTCATCCCAAGCTCTTCATTTTCTATGCATGCAAGGCGAGAGAGCTTCTTCTGCAAACAAAAGCACAACAATTACCACAGAATATTGATCAACAAATATAGCAGACATGTATGGTATTATCCAGTACAAAACAAACACTACAAGTCCACAAGAAATACAGTAATAAACTATATTCACAATTCCAAGAAGTGTTCAATAGCTTACCCTTTTTCCATCTATGAACCTTTCCACTTCATTGTCTTCCCTTGCAGGAAAGTAAAATCCATAACTTGCAGGCCTTCTGTGCCTCCTAGCAATTATTATATGCCTCTTCAAAAACTCTCTCGTGCTCATTTCTTTGTCGTCTAATTTCACCTGAAAGAATACGATTCATGAAAATTTTAGAAAGCACTACATCATGCTTGGATTTTTGAATTGCTTTATCAATTTCTTTTGCCCTGCCAAACCAATTAAAAAAGAAAAACGAAAAGAAAAACAAAGCTGAAAAAAACGGCTAAAAGATGCTCTAACATCCCAAGGAAACAGAAAGCAGAACTCACTTGTTCAGGACGAAGGAAATGGCTGAAAACTTGTGGCCGATACCATCGAGCACAACAGAGAGGATTCCCTTCCAGCCAAATATTTTTTAAAGAAGGAAGGCCTGAAAGGACCTCTAGCTCCACATAATTAGAGATAATGTTGTACGAGACATCAAGTCCTTCTAAAGATTTCAAATTCTCGATCCCTCGCAAAGTAGTCAATGCATTGCTCCTTAAAACAAGTTTTAATATATGGCATGTAACCTGCATAATACAATTGAAAAAAAAAATCAAAAGCCAGTTCCTCATGGATTGAGCATTAAAATTGCTTTCCTTGCAATTGCTAGAGCTGTCAATTCGGGTAAACGGGTCGGAATAGAGTCGGGTAAGAGTGGGTCAGGTCGGGTCAATTCGGGTTTATGCCGTAACCTATGCGGGTCGGGTTCGAGGTGGATCATGCTTGAGTCAGGTTACGTCGAGTCACACATCTTGTCGGGTTTAGGTCGGGTTACATTCGGGTCGGGTGAATAATAGGTCGGGTTTAATTTGGGTTTTCACGGGTCAAAACGAGTTAGGGTAATTCTCGGGTTCGAGTCGAGTTCGGTTAAAGTCAATGATTTGCGGGTTAGAATCAGGTCGGGTCATTCTCGGGTTTGAGTCAGGTTCGGTTCAAGTCAATAATTTGCGGGTTATAATCAAGTTGGGTCATTTCCAAGTCGGGTCATTTCCAAGTCGGGTTCGGTTCAAGTCAATAATTTGCGGATTATAATGTCATTTCCAAGTCGGGTCATTTCCAAGTCGGGTTCGGTTCAAGTCAATAATTTGCGGATTATAATCAGGACGGATCATTTCCAAGTCGGGTCATTCTCGGGTTCAAGATGGCTTTGGTTCAAGTCAATAATTTGCGGGTTACAATCAGGTCGGGTCATGTTCGGGTTCAAGTCGGATTTGGTTCAAGTCAATAATTTGCGGGTTATGAGGTCATGTATATGTGCTAGGAATAACCAAACATTGATCCTAATCATCAGAAATTTGCACAATAAGTCCTAATCATATATATATATATATATATATATATATATATATATATATATATATATATATATATAGTCTTTGTGTATCAATTTAATTATATATATCTATTTCCTCATAAAAAAAAAGTTATTATATATGTCTAAGCTCTAAGGGGAAAATGGAAAAACAAAAATATCCTTTGAAAGATTGAGGGAATATCTTCTTTCCTAATCATTAAGAAAATAACTGCATATATAAAATGCACATGCCTTTGTCAATCATTATAGACTAAACTCTAACTAACTATAAATAGATAATTATCATTTTTATATAACAATATATATCCGGCAACATACAAGGAAACTATAGCCTATAATTTAAGAAGATAATTATCTCCTTTGACCATACAACAAATATCTACTATATTTAACTCTTATATTTGGGGATGATGCTTGTTTCTTTTGTTGGCCTGCACCAACTTGGTCTCACTAGACAAAATGCTTTGATCAATAATAATAAGGTAGGCTAAATTGAATTTAAGGTGATTTGAAATCGGGTTAGGAACAATTTTGGTTGTATTTAGGTCGGGTAAATTACAAGTCGTGTTGATTTCGATTGAGATTAGTAACAGATCGAGTTGAATTTTGGGTCGGGTTAATAATAAGTCGGGTAAAATTCGGGTAAGGTCAATAACAAGTCGGGTTGAATTTGGGTCGGGTCATTAACAAGTCGGGTTGATTTTTGGTCGTTTTGCAACAGTCGGGTTAGTAACAGGTCGGGTTAAATTCGGTTTTTGACGGGTAAAAACGAGTTTGGGTCCATTTCGATTCATCGGGGTCGATTCAGGTCAATAATTTACGGGTTACATTCGGGTCATCTCCGGGTCGGTTCATGTTCGGGTTCAGGTTCAGGTTCAGGTCTCAAATACTCGGGTCAGGTTAGTTTTAGGTCGAGTTCGGGTCACCATTTTTTCGGGTTCTGATGGGTTGGTTAATAATCGGGTTCGGGTTGGTATTCAGGTCGGGTCCGCTTTTGACAGCTTTAGCAATTGCAACACAAGATGTTCACCGAAAATCTTATAGCTATGTTATTGTCCAGCCAAATCAGGGTCATTAAGAATCCAAGTGAAAATTACAAGACAACATACACTTTCAGAATCACAACCAAGCAAACCAAATTAAAAGACATCACGCAGAAGATGCAAAAAGATTCTCAAGTTCAAAAACAACATTAATGCAAACTGAAAAGAAACGCTTTGTCATTGGCCTATTGTCAACCAGACCCGATTGAGTGCCATATATAATGCCATGGGCTGGCAGTTCATGTGTTGGAAAGCAAGTTTGGTGTGTTACAAACACACACACACAAAAAAAAGGCATTTCATCGGATTGGGTTGGCTTTTACTAGGTCCATGGGCCACATTATTAGTCCAGGCCCACACACCTTCAGAGCTGGGTTGTTGGTTCAGTACCGGCATGTCACCCATACTCAGTTGACTTGAACTGATTGATCCAGGTTGAACCTTGGCCATCTAGATAATGTGTAAGAAATTCCATTTTGGGCCATCCTTTAAAGATTATCCCATTTCTTTATATAATAACATGTTTCCACCATTTACCCCACTTGCATACACTCGTAAATATGAAACAAATAAATAAATAAAACAAAGATACCCCCATATAGTCATACACTTACAAAATTTTGGAATCAGCCTTAAACAACACATTTAGCCTTGGCACAAATAAATACGGGTGGAGGGAGTAACATCAGTTGCATGAAAACAATTGGACTACAAATCCAACTGAAAGAAGGATTACTAGTTTTAAGTATCAAAATGTAATCTCAAGTCCAGCAGGTACAAGAAGAAACTAAAGACACAACTTAATCTAAGTGGGTAAGTTAAGTTGAGACAAATTCTAGAAATTATTGCCATCAATTGTTAGTTAGGAAACTAAGTTATTGCCAAATAATCATCTTCTCCTCATACTCACCAACAACAACAAACTTCTGCATTAGGTGATCCCTTCATCCTAGACTTAGATTGAACAAAATAAACAATAATATAATGTGAAGAAGAAGTTGATCGACTATTTACTAGAAAAATGGCAATGATGAAGGATAGTCAAGCTTTAAAGCGAGCATTCAAGAGTCTTTGATTCTATTCCAACCATGGTGTAAAAATGCGGTTTCGGTCGCGATCGCGGGAACGGTCGCGGTGTTGCGGTATCGGAAATGATGCGTTGATCGCGGACCGGGTATCGGTCATCACGGTAGAATTTTTATTTTAGAGTTTTTTAAGTTTTATTTTTAAAAAAATAGTTTAAATACTAAATTGATTGTCATCTATTTCTTAAATTCGATTATTCGTATAATAACGTAACAATAGAAATGGAAAACTAAAAATAACGTCAGTAAAGTAGTGGAATTTAAAAATATAAAAAGAAAATTGAAATAATCTAAATCATCACGTGACTTCTTCCTTAGTGGGATTAAAAACTCAAGAAATAAATAAGATGTATATAAAAGGAACCACAATATGTGGACAGATGTCCTACCTAACTCCCCCTTCACCTACCCCACAATTTTAGCCTTTAATTCTGTCCCTCTTTCTCTCTCTTTGGAGTTTGCAACAACCTAACAATGGAGTCTAGCAGTTCGCATCCATGGAAGCAGCAATACATGTTCAATTAAGTGATTAAACTTGCGAAATCAAGCTATATCTCAGGCGATTCGGAGGTGTATCAGCCGTCTCGGCCAAAAATGCGGTGTTTTTTAATACCCCGTTACAAAACGCTAAATCTCGGTTCGGTAACTTCAAATTCCGTTACATATCGCGCGAAACGCGATGACACGGCCGAGTTTTTATACCATGATTCCAACTAACAATCTAAAAGCTAGCAGATATAGTATATCAATATATATTCTAATACCAATATTACTCAGATCACTGCTGCAAAATACTAATATATTAAGATTAACACAGCGAAAGTTAAAGAATAAGACAACAGAAGCAATGATTAGGTTACAGTTAACAACCAGTGAAAGCATAATGAGCTAAAAGGTGCTGCAATGGCTCATTCCTTAGAATAAAACCACACATGCAAACACATTCCTTAGAAACTTAGGGCCAAACACAATAAGCGCAGAAAGACAGTTTCCAATTCTATTGGGATGCTTCTTTTAACTCAGAGATTCTACGAGCAATTCTCTTGTGATATATAATCATGAAAAGTGGATAAGAATCTCACTTTTCTAATTTGAATTAGCTTATACTATACATTGATTATATAGATGAAGGAAGAAACTCGAAATTCAGTCTCACCACATATCTAACAAAAAGTGGTTAAGTATCTTTAACGAATCAGAGCTAGCCACCTGTGTCTTATACAAACAAAAGCGAGCAGAGAAAAGGACAGGGTCTGAGACCTCTGACCACTATCTCAAGCAAGGTGGTGAGGCACAAACACACCTAGCAACAGTAACTTAAGGCTGCAGCCACTAGTTGGCATATTAGGATAATGACAAAGGGGCAGTAAAGTTAGTAATTGAAGCCGTACTATTTAGCTAAGTAGTATAAATAGATAGAGAGTGGTAGAAGGAAGATTAGGCAGAATTTTGTTAGGGAAACCTAGAGAGAGCCATGGCCTAAAGCCATTTTGGAGAGTTGTGAGCTAAACTCACTATAGAAGATTGATAGCCTTAAGCTATTAAACCTATTCCTTGTAAACCTTTTGCCATTTGTTAATCAATATTCAAGCATTAATCTTTAATTACTAGCAATATTAAATTAGAATTATACACCAGAAAATCAGACATTACAATATCTTCAAGGTGAAGGAAATGATATGGACGGTTTAGAAATTGGAAAAAGAAAACTATCTGGAGTTTCAATTATATTCAAGCCATTCTACCAACTAGACTTACCTCACTAAAAGATGCGACTGATCGAAGTTGATTAAATCCCAGATCCAGGTGCGTTAATCTTGTGCACTTTCGTAAATTATCAATTTTGGCAAACTTGTTTCGGCTAAGATCAATAGTTTCAACAGCTGGAAGAAGTTGCAGTGATTCATCCATAAGAATCAAACCATTACATGCACAAGATACAAAAGATAACCGAATCCATTGGGGTGATTCTTTAATGTCAGCAATTCTACTTGCAAATACATGACATAATGCATCCTGAAATTCAAAAGAGAAGAAATTGGATCACTCTGTATGACCATCAGAGCACCAGCAAATCTTGCAGATAAAAAAGGGACATGGAGGAGAGGCAAAATCAGACAAAATCCATAGAAAAGATTATTAACTTAGTAAAGACAACTAAGAGAAGAAAAAAAAGGATACTTGATTAGGTAAATCATAGGAGGGTATCATAATACATATTGTCATAATGAATATTGAGCATAAATTTCAGTATGGAATTTTATACATGAATATCCAAGGTAATGCATTTTATTAACAAACGTGTACTTCTCTTCAATGATTATCAAAATCACTCAAAGGCAAGTTTCTAACACGTGATGGTGACCGATAATCAAGAAAAATTAAAAATAAAAAACGCCTAGTGGTAAATGCATGGAAACAAAACTCAGCCGTCCCGTTATGAAACAAGTGTTTTGCAATAGGTTTAACATAGACCGAACAGAAAAACCCCGTTTTATAACAGCAAGTCAGAAATCGCACCCAATGAGGTGCATTTCCCGATCTATAAATTGGGATTTTTTTTATCTCATATAGTGTATTTATAATAGTTTTGGCTAGAATATGGTCTAATTACTACCTCCGGTTCATTTTAGTCGCAACAAAGGACAATTTTACGCAAACCTAGGCAAAAGATTGAAAGCATGATTATGGAAAAATAAGGGTACATGCTTGACAATTAATCCAGCCAAAAAAAAAACCTTAATTAAATTAAAATAGTAACCCACCACCACCACCACTATTGACACCACCAAGCATCACCCAAACCACCCACCACCACCACCCAGCATCACCGAAACTACCAGTACCGAACCTAACACCGCCAACGCACCACCACTACCCCACGCACCCAGCAACTCGTCGTCCCACCACCACCACCCCACGCACCCAGCCACCCACGAACCCAGCCACTACCACAAACCCAGCCACTACCATGACCCCACCACCACCATGGCACCACCCCACGCACCCAGCCGATTTCAAACCCACGAAATCAATTACCACGAGATCAACCTAGAAAACCCACGAGATCAACCTAGAAAACCCACGAAATCAACCCAGAAAACCCACGAAATCAACCCAGCCGCCGATTTCAAACCCACGAAATCAATTACCACGAACTCAACCCAGAAAACCAAACCCACAACCCACTATCGCCGCCGATCTACCGATCTGCCGATTTCAAACCCACAAATCAAACCCATAAACCAAACCGCCGATCTGAAACCACGAATCAAACCCACGCCGCCGCCGATCTACAACCCCCGCCGCTCGTAACACCATGGAACCACCATGAAAATGTGGTTGGAGGAGGAGAGAGAATTCAATGGGAGGAGAGTTTAATTAATTAAGATTGGGGTTTAATTTAATGAAATTAGATTTGTAATTTAATAAGGGTGCTTAAGAAAAAAAGTAAGGGTATATATGTCATTTTACAGGCTAAAAGTTACCAAATATGGAAAAAAAAAATTTGTTGCAAGTAATTTGAACCACCCCAAAATGGAAATTGTTGCGACTAAATTGAACCGGAGGTAGTACAAAGAAATAAGTCTACAAGCTAAACATTTTACTTACGAAATTTTTTCTTAAGAAAAAAACATGCCACGTAACCCATGATCCATCTAACCATTAACAGCCTATCTCATGACAATGCAACCGTTTCCGCTGTTATTTTCCCATAAATAGATGCATTAACTTGTAACATTACTTACCAAGCAAATTATTGAAAACCCCTAAATTTTTAACCTTATACTCTCTCTCTCTCTCTACTGTGAGCTACTCATGAACATTTTTCCAGCTTAACAACTGACATTATCTTTTTTCTCCCAATATTTTTGTCTTTCCAAGTCCCACTATCTTTAAAATAATGAGATGAGACAACAAATTTTCCAGATAGTGTAATGTTATGAACTAATCTTTTCCAATTGAAATAAAAATTTAAAAAAATAAATAAATAAATAAAAAAAGCTACAATAACGCATGACGCTGCAAAGCTTACCTATTTTATATACAAACAAAAAAAGTCAGGTGGGATCTCGCTAGATTTGTCTTGGTGTATATTTCCAAAATATTATCTATTTATTAATAATCAAATATACCAATGTTTGAAGCTATGAATTGGCAAGCATGAAGAGAAAAATGTTTCATCAAAAACTACAGATGAAGTATCAAACAAGACATTTTAGAGAAAAGGTAAGAGTTAGTGAGTTGTAATGAGGAAAAATAATATCAGAGGACAACAATAATAAACATATCCATGATATATAGTGAAGAGAATATAAAGGAAAATTATTAAAAGAGCCAATAACATTGTCATTGGATCCTATGGGTCACAACTCAGGCTAATAAAAAAACAAACTTAAGTCACTTGCACGTTTGGATGTAGTGCGCTTGCTCCTAATCACAACGCCGGTATAAGTAGGGGTGAGCAGAAAATCCGGGTACCCGGTTTTGGACAGGAACCGGAACCGGTTTGGACCCGGCGGGTCTAGACCCAGAACTAGTCCACCGGGTCCGGGTCCGGTTCCAAAAATCAAGACCCGGTTCCTATCGGTTCCGGGACCAGGTCCCAAATATTTGGACCCGGTTCTAACTTTTTTTTATGTTTTTATACAGCTCATATCCCATTTACATATGTAATATTAGTAGGCCCAACAACCCATTTACATATAAACTCTCCTACCCTTTCTAAACTAACCCTAAAAAAATCATCAACCTCCCTCATTCATTCCAACGCCTCTTTCACTCTCAACTTCTCCTTTTTCATCTCTTCTTTTCCTTCCATCTTCACCTCTCTAATAATTATAAGATATTTGTATATTGTTTTCTTTCCATTTGATGTTGTAACTCAAGAATTTCTTAGTTTTTCCAATTAAAACATTTTTTCTTGTTATTGATGCCAATTCAAAGGGAAAGGAGCTTTTATTTTGGAGTATCAATTTATAAAATAAATTGTCTACTTGTGTATTTTATTTTGTACTAGAAATTTGTAATTATTTACTAAATTTTGATATGTCAATGTAATTTATTTTTTTAAACCGTGTTGATGTGTTATTTGAATCTGTTATACAGTATTTAGATACTTTAGTTTTTTTTAGTTATTATACTGAAAAATTACCCTAATTAAATTAAGAATTATCAAGTTAGATTTTTTTAACCGAAAACTGGTTCCTACCGGATCCGGGACCAGTTCCAGATTTATTGGACCCGATTAGGACCGGTTCCAATACCAACAGGGTCCGGTTCCGGGTCCTTTGTTTTTGACCGGGTACCCGGTTGTGCTCACCCCTAGGTATAAGGGTTAAGTGTCACCCTCAAGGCCGCCTTATGAGGAGGATCCACTCATTGGGTTCGTGCTTCATCAAAATACCATGTTTTGTTTTCTATGTTTTGCATTAAAAATTTAAATTTCACTAGATTGTTTTTTTTTTGTAAAGAACCTAGGAGGCTAGAATTTGTTTATTTTTGGTGTCTTAGACATGTGTTAGAATTTGTTAAGAGTCCTTAAGTTAGGTTTGTTGGTTTTTGACCTGGATTTGGTTTAGTTAATCCTAAACTAAATAGGTTACTTGCAAGATTAGGTTACTTGCAAGGCAAGGTCAATTAGGCAGGTTGGGTTAGGGCTTGTCCTAATATTATTAGGAATCATAATTAGGATGGCTAAGACCTCTGCATAAAAATGATTGAGTGTGTAACTTTGACACAGTTCAGCATTAAGCTCATCAAGGTGTTTCACTACTATATTCTTGTGAACCAAACTGTGAAGGGAATTTCCTATGTAAGAAAGTTGCAACAAATTTCATATTGAACTCGAAAGTCTGACCCAATCTAGCTCAAGACAGTAAATACTAAGATTGGTAGCACTTGGTCCTAGCAAACATTTTCATTTATATCTGACCCAATAGAGCCACCCCTTTAACAGCATTCCACAAATAGAACATTAAATTGAAGTAAATCATTTTGAATCCACGATTCTAATCGAAAACTCGACTCTCCATGATCACTAAACATTCATTAACACCTAAAAAAAAAAAAAAAAAAAAAAAAAAGCTAAATTAAAGCTAAATAAAAATGTCATACATTTAGAGTTAAATTGAAATTGAGTTGAAACAGACTTACAGTAGAATTATGACAAATAAGTTTCTCCAAAGTATGTCTCAACTCAAGCAAGCCTTTAGCAGCAGAAGTAGAAAGATCACAACCACGGAGCTCCAAAACCTTCAATCTTCCAAAAGCAAGCAGCGACAAAGGCGTCGGATCCCTGGAAGGAGGAGGCAATACAGAAACAATCTTCAACGACGAAAGACGACACAAAATCTTACGGAGCTGCTCCAGAGCCCGGTGATCACCGAGATCGGATACGTAAGCGCTAAGATAATCGACGGGAGCTCCAGCAATCAATCCCTCAAGTTCGCTAAGTGCTTCCAATCTGGATTGAACATAGTGAAGACCTACTGGATTCAGCTTCAAAATTAGGGTTCCATCGATTAATCCGCCTGCATATTTTGCCACGAATTTGACTAGGGATTCAAGGTAACGATCACCAGTCACAATCTCCATTGATTCAAGAACAATTTTTAGGATTTGAAGGTTAAAATTTAGGGTTGATGCATGATTATTAGCAAGAATTTGGAATTCCGAAAGAAGTAGGAATGAATTTCAGAAATGAAAGAGTGAGAATTCAGAAGAATATAGGAAGAGGAGAAAATGATACTAAATTTTAAACAAGGAATTGGAGAAATCCGGGGCAAATGTTTGTTGTATCTCGTAGCTCCGTAAAAGTCGCAAAAGGAAATCGGTTCCTCGACTTCGAGGGTGGAAAATCGTTGTTACCGGTGGTAGGACCCCTATTCCGATGACCCTGACTAGTTTGTATCCCTGTCGTACTGTGTTAATCGTGATGGGGGAGGGAAACATACAAGTTTATCACGAGTGATTTCCCAAAGAGCTAGTCCCGATTAATACTCCCTCCGCAATTTTTAACTCGCAAAAAAATAGTCTCACTCGATAAAGTCCATATTATTATTATTATTATTATTATTATTGTTATTATTATTATTATTATGTATATATATACTAAAATTTGTTATATATTTAGATAATTTTCTTAATATCAAATGATAATATTTTATACGCAGTATTTAATTAATTTAAAATGGGAAATCTCATTCGTCAATTTTGCTTACGAGTCATTTAAATTATTTGATTTCAAAAAAAATTAATATTCTCGTATTTAATTGGCTACCACTAAAATTTATAATCCTACATGGCGCTGAAAAAATAAAATCCTACGTGGCTCTCTAAAAATTCGGGAAAAAACTCTCCTTTAAATATATACTAGCCCGTGCGATGTACGGTTTGTTTGAATTTTTAAAAATATATATTTTTTTTATGTGCTAAAATTTGTTTTATATTTAGATAAAATTTCTAAAATCAAAAGATAATATTCATATTTACCTAATTTAAACTGGATAATCTCATTCGTCAATTTTGCTTACGTGTCAATTAAATTATTTAATTCTAAAAGAAATTAATAATCGCTTTTTACGTGGCGCGTTAAGAAAATTAAATCTTACGTTGGCTCTCTACACGGTAATTTCAATATTTATCATTAGTTTAATACAATTATTTTACTATAAAAAATAATATTAAATTGCAAAATAGGATGAAAGTTTTGTAGTTACAATTTTTTAATCTTTAAAGAATACAAAGGAAGAAATGCATGCATGACAAATAGAATTAACTATGGATTACATTACAAAGTTATACATAATATTACATTATTGTATTACATGGCTTTGTTCCCGTCATAAAATAAATAAATATATAAATCTTTTTTGAATGTGTAAAAATGAATATACTTGCTAAATAGAAAAGAAATATTATTGTAAAGTAAGTATTAAATTAAATACTTCTCTAAGAAGCTTTGGCCAAAAAAAAAAAAAAAAAAAAAAAAAAAAAACTTTTGGAGGGAAAATTTTTAACCAGGTTATGACAAATGTCATTTCTGGTTTCGCCTTTAATATAGGTATATTGATATTGATTAGATATTAGATTTTCTTTTTTCAAGTATATTAATATTACTTTTTTATCAAAATTCTCTCAAATTTACAACAATATTTGTGCTAATCTAACTTTTCCACGTAAATTTTGCTTTTTCACGTACTTTATTACTTTATCTCTCTACTTTTTTGCATACCTACCTTTTCAATGTGCTTTTACTACTTAATTATGTTTATTAATTTCCGTTAAAATTGCTCATAAGAGAATATCAATAAGGAACGGAGGAAGTATGTCATATTAACATATCTTGTTGATATAGGGGCATACTTGAAAATAGGAGTCTTGGAGTTTGTATTATATTGTTATAATATTGTTTTGATGACATGTCATTTAAATTCTTGTTATTTAACGCCATTTGCCTGAATTTGATTGATATCAACAAGGAAAAAGTAAAGGGCTTTCGGAGGAGTGAGAAATTAGTAAAAACAAACGAGGAAGATGGTATTCTTCGAATCCATGCACTAGCGGATCTATAAAGACTTGAAGGGGAGCACTTGCATCCCCTTTTTGCAAAAAAATTATGAAATTTAAGGTAAGTTAAAAAAAATCTATTTCATATACTAGTTTTTGTTGTCCCATTTTAAGTAAATTGATTCCTAAAAGATAATATCAGACAATAGAAATTTTTATGTTCTAAAAAAATCATACATTTTCTTCATATATAATGGTAAATGATACATTAACTCCCATTTTTACACGTATCTCCGCTTTTTTAAATACTGTAACATGTGCACATTTACACCACATATTCACACACTCTTCTATAACAACATATTATGATTATTTTTTCGGTCGAACGTTATAAACTTTGACCATAATTACCGTTAACGTATAAAAGATAAGAAATTTTAGAAAATAACACCTACAAAGTCACAGAATTTTGTTTTTAACACCAGAATTATTCAAATTTTTATTATAACACCACTTAAAAAAATTCAATGTTGGTTTCACCACCAAATAACAGAAATTGTGACGGAAAATTTGAAAAGGGCCCACATAACAATTTACCCTCCAATTTTCATCCTCTTCAATTCGATTCTCTCTCTTCTTCATTCAATACCTAACTACTCCTCCTTCATTCAATCAATTCTCTCTTTATACCTTCAACTACTTATCAAGAATTAAAACCTAACAATTTGAATTGTGTGGTATTGAATTTGAGTTGGATAGGGAAGTGTCAGAAGTGGAGCGAAACATGTCAGCGAGTGGGCGTCAGCCATTATCAACAACAAAAAAGCTTGGATTTTTTCATGGAATCTGACAGAAATAGCAGCAAGATTCCAAAATAGGTACCTTTCGAATCTTTTAAAGTTATTTTAAGCATCTGTTGAAGTTAATTATGCCATTTTCATTAGTATTTTGGGGTATTTTGGGAAAAAAAATTGGGAATCCTAAATAATAAAGTGAAATTGGGTGTGAATTACTTAGTGTGCTGTGCGATTTTCTAATTAAAATAGAATTTGCTTAAGTGAAGTATGCATTAGTGCAATTAGTTTATTGTTTACTGTGATTCATTGATTTTGTTGACCTGTTCACTCTTTTGTCCTTGGTTTTGTTGACTAAAGTTTGTTTAGTTGGTAAAATATGTTTGGTTTTGTTGATTAAAGTAGTACAATTGACTGTGTAATTGGGTCAATAAATGATGGCCTATTTTGACTTCTTCCGCATATGTTTATTGAGTAGATAAATGGGCAACAACCAAGATGGTTTAATTGATATAGTGTTCAGAGTTGGGGGTGCTTTTGTTCCCAAAAGGGTGTCACAAACAAAACATTTGCTTTGCTGGTGTGGTGGATTATGTTATTGGAGGAGGGATGTGGTACAGGATAGGATAGATGTGAGTTACTTGAGGGAAGCTGCTTTGCATGGGTTTGTGTACTATAATGTTCATGTCCCTCCTAACTATAAACTGTGGTATAAACAAAGAGGAAGGACTTTTAATACAGGGAGAAGGGAAATACTAAATGAAGAGGAAGTTAAGGGGCTATTAGAGACAATGAACTCAGAAGGGTATGTGGAAGTTTTTGTGAGTGCAGATGAGACCTTAAGGCCCATACATCAGGCCCAGTCCACTCCAGAAAAGGGGGAGAGAAGGGGGAAGAAAAGTGAGGCAAAGAATGTACCACTGAGGAAGAGCCCAAGACTTAATAAAAGTGTAGTTGAGGTGTCTGAAAGGGAAAATTCTCCTAAACCTAGATCTAGGCAGGGGTTAGGTAAGGGGATAAGAGAGACAGAAGGTGTTTCTGGTAAAGAAAAGTTGTTGGATAAGGGGAAAGGAAAAGCTAAGGTTGAGGGGTTTTCTGGTGGTAGGAAGGTGTTAGATAAGGGGAAGGGAAAACAGAAATCTGTAGCTAAAGGATTGGTTTTTGAGGATAATAGTGACTCAGGGAGTGGGGAGGGCTATTCTTCTACTGACAACAGTGAGATTGACATTACTTGGGAGCCTGGGGAGGAGGAGTATGACAGTGGGGATGAAAAATGGTTTGTGCAAAACTCTGAGGAGATATTGGAGAAGGTGACAAGAAGTCTTGGGAAGCAGCTAGATGTGCATGATCAAGGTGTTGTGAAGGACCCTAGGTCAAAGTTGAATGAAGATTTAGATGTAGCTGAGGTTCAAGTGCAGCAAGAAGTTAAGGAAGAGCCAGATGAGCTAAGGAGCTTGGATGGGTCATCTAATGAAGAGGACAACAGTCCTTGGTTCAATGAGAAAACTGACTTCAGTAAGCCTATTGTTCTAGTTAATAGGCTTAAGTTCAACAATGTTTTGGTTTTGAGGAAAGCCCTTAGAGTGCATGCCATAGAAAATAGATATGAGTACTACTTTTTACACAATGACAGTAGTAGGATTACTGTGCAGTGTAGGAATAGATGTGGATGTAAGTTTGACACAAAGACTAGTAGGATGCCTATGTGTATATGCAAGGGTGGAGTGAAGTGAAACTTTAAGATTCATGTAACAAAGTTAGTTAGAGCACAAACTTGGCAGATAAAGAGTATGAGGTTGGAACAAAGATGTGTGAGAAGAAGAGAGAACAAGAAGGTCACTGCAGAGAGGTACCTTGAGGAGTTCAGAAGTAATCCCATATGGAAGATTAAACAGATAACTAGGGATAGGGTTTTGCAAGATTTGGGTATAACAGTAACCTACTTTAGGGCTTGGATGGCAAGATGTAGAGCAAAGTTGATAATATTTGGTTCAGCAAGAGAGCATTATGCAAGGGTCTGGGACTATGGGAAGGCAATTATGAAGTATAACCCAGGGTCTGGTTGTAATGTGATGGTGGAGGGATTTGATCAACCTGAGCCACCTATCTTTCTGAGGATGTTTGTTTGTCTGAGGGCTGTGAAAGATGGGTTTTTGAAAGGTTACAGGCCAATCATTGGGGTAGATGGGTGCCACTTGAAAAGAGCTTACCCAGGGCAAATTTTAGTTGATGTGTCCAAGGATGGAAACAACAGCATTTACCCTATTGCTTGGGTAACATGTGAGATTGAAAACAAGGATACTTGGATTTGGTTCCTGCAATCATTGATGGATAGATTGGGGAATGTTGATGGAACAGGTCTGACCTTCATGTCAGACAGGCAAAAGGTGTGCCAATCATCTTTTGATTTTGTATTTACTTTTCTTTTCTGTCACTTGTTCAATATATACTCATATGGGAATGTTTTGTCCATGATAAACAAGGTTTGGTTGAAGCTCTAGCTACAGTTGTCCCAAATGCAGAGACAAGGTTTTGTGTTAGGAATATTTGGGAAAATTTTCAATTGAAGTTCACAGGAAACAGTCTTCAAAGAGCTTTGTTGGAGTGCTGCAAGAGCAAAAACACTGGTAAGAGCAACATCTTTTATTTGTTAGTTTGTTATAGTTCTTTCAGTTAGATTGTTGTGAGTTATGTGCATTCCTTAGGTTAGTAACTTGGTTTTAATCTGGTATTTTGTAGCCTGACCATGAAATGGCAATGGATCAAATCAAGGAGCTAAATCAAGAAGCTTATGATTATTTGCTAAAGATCCCCACAAAACACTGGTGTAGACATGCATTTACTGAGAACTGCAAGTCCAACATGTTACTCAACAACATGTGTGAGACTTTTAACTCAGTAATTAGGGATGCAAGAGACAAACCTATCCTCACCCAAATGGAGTGGATGAGGAGATACAAGATGAACAGGAACAATGAGAAGTGGGAAGACCTCTAAGCACTTAACAAGCAATTTGACTCCTTATGTTCACAAGCTGTTTCAAAGAATGAGTTATGTGTCTAGGAATTGTATTATTCAAGCTGCCAGGGATGATACATATGAAGTTCAGCTTTATGATGATCAAGTGTTAGTTGATTTGGGGAATAACACATGCTCATGTTACCATTGGCAGCTGACAGGCCTCCCATGTGTGCATGTCTTTGCATGCATAATGGACCAGAGGAGTGATGCAGAGCAGTATGTCCACCCCTATTACCGTATGACCTCATACAGAGCAGCTTATGAGCCTGCTATTCAACTAATGCCAGGCCCAAAGCACTGGGAGAGGGTAAATATGAGAGAACCTCAGCCTGCTATTTAAGGTGCAACCTGGGAGACCCAAATTGAAGAAAAGAAAATTAGAGCTTGGGAGGGAACATCTGGTGCAAGGCAGGAAGAGGGAAAGAAAGGGAAGAATCAGTGCAGGATTTGTGGTGGATATAGGCATTATGCTAAGACTTGCAAGCTTCCAAAAGCACCTGAGCCAAAAGAGGACAATCAGCTGTAAGGCCCCCATTGAACTCACCCTGGGTAGTTGATCAAAGGAAGAAGAGTGAGATAAAAGCTGCAAAGAAGGTAAGCTTTGGTGACTTGTTCATTTAGTATTAAATTAGATGTTATTGTTGGATGCTAAAGCCTGTTTTGCTTAACAGAGTGCAGTAGGGGCTGATACAAATACCAAAGGATCACAAACTCAGAAGAGTCAGCCAAAACCAAAGCAGCAAAGCACCCCCTCCTATAGTCAGCTTGAACCAAGATACAAAACCAAAGTGCAACAGACTGGAGTGCAGACTAGGAGGGCTAAGCTGAATACATTCAAGGATGTTAATTTGACTTAGTGAATTATGTTGTTGAACTTAACTAGATTATTAAGTTAGCCTTCATATTTTGAACAACATCTTGTAGTAGACTAACTGTTAGAGGTAGTATTATGAACTCTTAGTTTGGTGTTAGTTTTAAAAAAAGCCTTTTTTGCATCATCAAAACTTTGGTGTTAGGCTGTAAAAGCTTATTTTGTAATGCAGATTAACTAATTTGCTGTTTTATTGCAATCCACACACTTCATTTCAAGTAAATATCAGTACAACTTATTGCAAAAGAACATAGCAAATTCATTCATTAACCATAACATTTTAAGCTAAGGCTTAAAACATATTGAAATGTTCACGCCCCAAATGAAACTACACTTTCAGCATTACAAACCCCCCAATAACTAGCATCACTAACATGACAAAACTAATTCCAACTACAACATAAACAACAGACTGCTCTGATCTTCCATTTCTTCCATTCAAATCTCTATTCATCTTCTTCCTATCTGAGTTTATTGCCTTGCATTTCATCTTCAGGCTGTCCACTTCATTTAACAAACACCGCATCTGTCCACCTAGATCATCAACTTCCCTTTTGTAGTCAGTAATTTCTCCTTTCAAAAGCTTTTTGTCCAACAACAAATTGTTGATCACCTCTGTTTGCCAGGCTGTCCCATCTGGTTCATCTACCCATTCAAATGATTTACAACCCTTGCTCTCAGTTACAGGGTCATAGAACTTGCATGTTCTGAACTTTCGACCAGGGTTCTCCCTTGTCCAACTGGTGAGCTTTGCAAGAGGAACACCACACTTGCACTTCTTCTCTCTTGAAGGAGAGGAAGTTATGACAGACATCTCCTGCATCAATATACAACCCAAAGCAAGTAAATGAAACAATTAAACAACAGTAATCAAGAAATCAGTCCTAATTATCCAGAACCCCAATTCAATTTTCCGACGAACCCTAACTTCATTTACTCACAAATATTGCAATTAATTCCTTAAACTAATCCCAAATTGTATGAGTACTAACAATTACAATGCGCACAAAATCAATGACTTATGCCCAACATACAACAACTACTCCTAATTTTTGTAATAATTAAGTAGACATAATTTAGGGTTTTATTTAGAAATTTCAACCAATTACCTTTTTCCAGATCTTCTTCCAACGAACAAAGATGGAAACTTCTACCAATTTTTGCAATTTGGTTGTTGAAATCGTTGAATTTGAACCCAATTTTTGTGAATAAGTTGAATAAGTTGCAAGGAAATCGCAACTATATAAAAGGGTTTGACAAAAATAGCCGTTATAGTGGGCCCCACAAACAGTTCCTCCAACGGCGTACGAATTTAGGTGGTGAAACCAACATTGAATTTTTTAAAGTGGTGTTATAATAAAAATTTGAAAAATTCTGGTGTTAAAAGCGAAATTCTGTGATTTTGTAGGTGTTATTTTCTAAAATTTCCTAAAAGATAATATGGTAAAGAAAAATAAATAATCCGAGCTCCACGTGCAACCCTTTAAGGCCCGATTTGCTCTTTTTTTGTCAAAATAATTTATATTAATCAACGTGATCCATTTGGGTTACATAATTTTAAAAAAATTTGGACCCCCATTTTGAATATTATTGATCCGCCACTGAATCCATGGACTCCATGAAAGTCTAGCATGTTTATTTTGTTTTCAACAGCAATTCTTTGTGACTTATCATCCATAATCTTTGTAAATTCAGCTTTTATTTGTTCACCTTCTCGAACCTATCGATAGTGGAGGCGGAAAAAGACTTTGTACTTTAGCTTTTATTTATTCACCTTCCTGTACCTATCGATGGTGGCAGCGGCAAAATCTTTGTAAATTCAACTTTTTATTTCTTCAGTTTCTCGTACCTATCAAAAGCGGCGGCGGCTTTGCCGCCAAATTTAAAGAAAACCCTAAGAACAAAATATTAAATGAAGGGAATAGTTGACCCTAAACGGGACAAGTGTTTTCATGAAAGATCGATGATTTTCAACAATGGAGCAATGGAGTTAACATGAGGAGGGATAAAATTCAAGTTAGGGGTGGAGAGAGAAAATTTAGTGTGGGGAAGAAGAGAGAGAACCCTTTGTTTTCACTTTCTCACTTTAATGGTGTTAATGACAGGCAAACTTCTAAAATTATTCAAGTTACCATGCTACCCCTAACTTACATACGAAAATGACATTGGCACCCTTATCTATACCCTTTCAAAACCCACGAGCAGTGTTACTATTTCAAATCTACAATGTAGTTCCGTTTTTGCCCTTGTTTTTTTTTTAATTTGTGTGTACTGGTTATTTTTAAGTTGTTTTTTTTTTTCCTTTCTAAAACATAGTCAACGTATTTTCCCTGGCCAAGCATTTGTGTGTCTACTTGTGTGGTTGTGATTGACGTAGATTGTAATTTGTTCCCCTTTTTTGTTTTTTTTTTTTTTTTACTTTTTTCCCCTTCATTTCATTTTTTTACCTTGTTGATTCAGCATGTGTTTTAAATTAGTTTTAGAAAATTTGTCTTTTATTTTCCTTACTTTAATATTTTTAATTTGGGTTGTTTAGTTGATTATTAGAGTTGAGCACATCTATTTTATGGTGTGGATATTGTATGTGTTTGCTTGGTTTAGATTTTAAGAAAATTATGTTAAAAATGTATCTTTGCTTCAGTTTAGATTTTTAAAAAACCATTTTTTGGAAATGTTTTTCTACGACACTGCATTTTTTAAGCTTGGGTTTTAAAGGGTTCTTTTGTTTCCATTACCTATTAATTAGCTTAGTATTGCTTAGCACTTTTAAGTATGTCTTTTAAAGGGTTTTTTTTTTCCTAATTATCCATTAATTAGTTTAGTATTGCTTGGCACTTTTAAGATGAAATAGTAGCTGGGTTCACTTTGATTACTATATTATTTATTATAGGTGGGTTAGTGTTGTGAATATCAATTGTTAAAGGAGGGGTTAGACTAATGCAGTCAATGAGAATGCTTGCTTGTAGAGATGTGGTCTTCCATATTTTAAGGCTTATTAGAGATGTGACACTTTTTTGTTTCTTTGACTGCCAATAAGGCTTGAACATTTATGTACTTTGATTTATGAAGGAAATATTTATTTATTCACTGAGTGTGTTCTTATATTAGATGTATATATATTGGATTCATCTTGTTTGTGGTTGTCTAGAGCTTGCATTTTTACATCTAATTGTTTCTTTCTGTTTGTGTTCTAGAGCCTTACAACAGAGTGATGATTAGTTCTAGACAAAGAAAGCTCGGGTAACCTAAATTATCAGTTGTTTGAGATGGATATGTTTCCTACATATGTATCTTATTGATTATTACATTGTTATGGTTGATGCAAGAGCTTCCAACAAATTAGTGGACCAAGACTATGACTATCCATGACAAATGACAATTCCATGCATCACAGGACTGTGATAAGGACAAACCAAATATTTGATTATGTTTTGTATATTGATAGATATATTGTCTATACTGTGTATTATGTTCATGGAATGCACTTTATATGGTGAATCATGGTATGGCCTTCTAAATTTGGATATGGAATAAGTTGTTTTACATGAATTTTAGACAATCATGTTCATTTATTATAAGTTAGTAGTTCTTGCAGATAGTAGGCCTTTTAGTTTCTTTTGTTAGGTTTTAGGTTCTGATCTTTCTGATTTTGTCCAGAAATGTGCCTTTAAGTTGTCATGGAATGTAGTAGTGGCAAGAGGAAAACTAGGTCGTTATCTAATTCTCCCTTGGTCAAACTAAATTTATAAACACTTAACAAACCTTATACAAGTATGCGGTAAGTCAAGGGTCGAACCCAAAGGAATGAGTAGGAACTATGCTATAGTCTATTGTCAAGCTAAATCGAAGAATATCAATGGTTGAGGTTGGTAACTAGAATGTCAAGAAGATAGACAAATCAAAGAATTCAATCAATATGCTAAACACTAGGGATATAGGTTCCACATGCAAGCTTAATGATTATGCTAATTGATAGATCACTCAATTGATTCAAACATTACAAGGGACAAACAATAGTTGCAATCAAAGGAATTCAAAGGTTATCTCCTATAAGCCAAGCTAGGGTTCACTATGAATGGCTAACAAGGAGAATCACAATCAAATGCAATCAATTAAAGCAATTCTCAAATCAAGGGTTCATGTCATTGAAATTTGCTATGCAATCTAGATTAATCTTATAGGTTGATCACTCCTAGTCTAATTAATCAGATGCACAACTATGTCAACCAATTTAATTGCAAAAATTCAATCAATCAATGATCATCAACTAGCAAAAATCATCAATCAAGCATGCTTCCCATTCTCCCTAGCAACTAATCTACTCACTAATCATGGTGAAATTGAAAGACAAAACAAATTCAATCACAAACATATTCATTTCAAACTAAATCAAAAGGAGAATCAATCAATCAACAAATTCTCAAACCTAAATCAAAATCCAAATCAAACATTCAAGCATTAAAGAAAATTGCAATTGAAGTAAATTCAAAGGAAAGAAATATCACAAAATTTCATTGATATGAAGAAAAAATCCAAACTTGATTGAAACAATGTTGTAATACAAATCAAATCATAGAATTCCAATCTCTACTTTCTCTCTAACTTCTCTCTCTAAAAACTAAGCAAATGAAAGATTATCTAAAAACTAGCCTTCCAAAGGAATTACAAGAGTATTTATAGACAAAGAAGAAAAACTGATCGGTCGCGCCCTCTCCAAGAACATCCCGTGGGCGCGGAGAAATGGGTACGAAACCCATAACTAACTCCGCGGGAAATCTAGGCAAGACCCGCGCCCGCAGGTACTGTAGCCCGACCCCGCGGCGAAGACACCCGTGCCCGCGGCTAAGGGCGCGGCAGATGCCCTGTTCCCAAGTGTAAACAGGGGGCTGCGGTCTTTCCAAAGGGAGCGGTCTCTCAAGATTCTCCGCTCCCGCGGCTAGACCTCGGCTAGGGCGCGGAAAGTTCCTGCCAAAAATCATCAATTTGCTACACTTTATCCGTGCCCGCGGCCCTAAGGACCCGCACTCGCGGCAACTGGTAAATGTAAAGCGCCCTCTCCGTACCCTCTCCAAGCCCTCTCCAAGGAGTTTGATTCTTCTTTGCTTAGCCCTTTTTGTTCTTCTTGACTCCTTTTCAAAGCCAACTCCTTAAGCACCTACAAAAGTAACTAAAGAGAGAAAATAGAAGAGAAAAAGAGCAATATAAAAGGGAAACACGAAGAAAACCACATAAAGGAAAGTAAAACACGAAGAAAGAAGAAATAGAGAAACTAAAGGAAAAAGACCAAAATGATAAAAGAAAACCATAAAAAATAGGATGAAAAAATCCTAAAAGACTACCCTATGAGTGCCATAAATGACACTCATCAAGTAGTTAGCTTTCATTTTTGGGTTGGTGCTTTTATGGCATGTGTTGTGAGGACAAAAATGTATTTCATTTGATTTTCTTCTTCTTGGGGGGGGAGGGTCTTCTATTTGGAATATGGGTCATTAGTTAATTGTTATTTCGAGTGAGTTTCTAAATAATGTTATGTGATCTATTCATGTAGTGCAGTTTATGTGATGCCTCATTGTTTGGCTTCTGAAATTTGGTCTATGAAATAGGCTATCTTTAATGGATTTTAGAGAGTTATGTTGATTTATTTGAGGTTAGTAGTTTCCATTGTCTTCATGTAAGGGTTGGATGTTGTAGGTAATGGTCATAGGTAGGGATTTTAATCTGTTTTAAGAATTTTAGGTTCCGAACTTTGTGATTTGTTCATGAAAATGTGGCTTTTAGTTGTCATGTGATGTGGCTATTAGGTTAGATTTGTGGGTTGCTGAG